GCAATGACGACAGCCACAACAAACTCATTCAAATATTAAATAACTTTACACTGCATAACAGAGGTTTATACTTTATACGTGAAAGGACTTCTACTGCATGAGCCAATTTGCAGAGTATACCTTTTCCTCTTGCTTGTAATGCAGGGTTCGGTTGTTCAAAGGTGGGTTAGCGCTAACCCTGGGTTAAAATTAAACGTGCTGTTTTAGTTTATGTATTTCTGGACGTCTGTTTATTTCAAGACTTCAGAGAAGTAAACTCCTATCGATCCAGACAAGATCTCTGAAGAAATATTTCCAAATTTATAGACAACCTGTCAGTAAGTTTGCTTTGAATTTTAGGTTAACCCAGGGTTAAGCTAATCCAGCTATGAACAACCGGCCCCAGGTGTTCTATACAAGACGGCAGGGAAACTTGACGAGTAATTAAAACAAAAAGCAGCCATAGGAATTGTGAAAATACGGTTGTGGCAAAATCAAAATTTGGATTGTGTTCCTTGTGGCTGCTGCTGCTGCTTCGAAACAACAATGTCGGAGATAGTATCCGATCTAAAAATGCCGACCAGGCCACCAGGGTTAGATTTAGGCTGGCATTGTTTTGCCGATCGCAATTTTTTCGAGGGCTGGCTGTACTATATATAGGGAAGAATTACAAGCTGTGAACAAGGTACCGTCAGGTGTCGCAATTGTCAGACCTGGTATGGAATAACGAAAGAATACGATGGCTGTTTGAACTGCCGCGGCAGCTGAAAAAAGAAAGTTCTGTTGAGAAAAACTGGATTGCTAAAAATTGCCAACCTCAAACGTTGACAGGTCAGCATGCAGGTCGTTTTCAAGGGGTGAAGAGGTAAAAATCTTTGGTTTGCTGTTTTGAACAGTATTAGGACAATAAGAACTCTCGAGGGACTTTTAATTATATGTATATTCATTTCTCTTCAGCATTGGTCATCCATATCAAATGTGTTTTATGATGTCTTTTTATAAAGCCTTTATCAATTTATATATATACTTCATGATAACAACAGATAATTCCAACTATAGACTAAATTTTGATCTAGGTAAGAAGAACAAATTCTCATCACCACAGCTAGAAAGAACATGTTAAAATTAGTAAAATTGCAAAGTTAGGCCGTAAAATGTTGTAAAATGCGGAAAATATAGCCATGCGCAATTTGCAAATTTTGTATTAATTTGTACAACGCGTGGGAAATGCACCACATTTGGGCCGAAAGTGGTGCATTTTCCCGCCCGTAATATAAATTAATACAAAATTTACAAATTTCGCAGGGCTATATTTTCCGCATTTTACAACATTTCGCGGCCAAATTTAACTTTCCAATTTTACTAATGATAACATGCTCTTTCTAGCTGTGGTGATGGAATTTGTTCTTCTTACCTAAATCAATTACAGATGTCCATAGCTGAAAATTAGTCTATATAGCTGGAATCACCTATTTAGGCATCGAATTTTCTCTTGGTTAATCATTTAAAAAATTATCAGGCAAAACAATTTTTAATTCGCTAAGGCAATACTGCATTCTAGGTACTTCATGTTTATTTGGAAGACAACTTTGAACACAGCTCGACATAGAAAAAAAATTGCCTAGCGTTACTTTTCTTTTTGGTACCGGTAGGTCAAGTTTATTATAAGCTTTTGTTGGAAGGGATGCAACACGCGAAAAATATAAGGAGAATTTCGACGTTTCGCTGAAAACGTCGAAATTTTCCTTATGCCTCTGATGTTACTCTGAGTGTATATCCACACCGGGCAGGCTTGAAAAATATGCCTGGCCACGGTGGGAATCGAACCTACGACCTTTGGAATACTAGCCCAATGCTCTGCCATCTGAGCTACACGGTCAGGACGGTTCGAGTAAGTGATATTTACTCATATTTCGGAACTGAGTCTAGTCCCTTTCGATATCAGTGTAATCTAATAATCATGATATTTGCTGTGTTGCTGTAGGGTACTCAGGTGAATAAAATGCCTCTGAGTGTATATTCACAACAGGCAGGCTTGAAAAATATGCCTGGCCACTGTGGGAATCGAACCTACGACCTTATCAGAGGCATCTTATTCACCTGAGTACACTACACCAACACAGCAAATTTTCCTGATATTTTTCAGGTAGATGCATCCTTACCAACGAAAGCCTGTTATTATTGGCACTATCTAGACACACTCAGGCACAGACTTTTCAGATAAATTAGGGACCGGTCATTAAATATGGCAGGGGCCGGGGGGTATGGAGGAACTAGAAATGTTGAAAAAAATTTTGCCCCCCCCCCTCAAAAATTATATGCCTTTTAAAGCCCCCCCCCCCCCCCCCCTTATGCATTTTATACTTTTTAAAGACACCCCCCTCTTGTACAGTTTGAAAATATAGTTTTGTGATGGCTGGCACGATTAGGACAAAGCTTAGGAGAGCAAGTGATCAATGAAGAGTATTAAAAGAGGTATAAAATTTGATGAAACTAGTTAAATAAATATTTTACAATCTATTTAGGTAGGTTACTCTATGGCCTATGCTTGTCTCGCCTACATCCACTTTTATATTATGTTTTTTATGCTTTACTCGTTATGTTAATACCCAGTGTTCCAGTTAAAAGGGCATTTTATGCATCTCTTTTGGCTGTTCATAGTATATATAACGAGAAACAATCCTTTTGTTGGGAAAAATCCGAAGACTCTTTCACATAATGTAATTTTCAAGACACCCCATCTCAATGAAAAAATAATTCAGGACCCACCTACTTTCTCCTCCATCCCCCTTGCCATATTTAATGACCGGTCCCTTACTGCCTTCATGCAATGTCTAATGTTGAGGCTATAGTAGTATAGAAATAGTTGTTTTTTCACGGACCATAAGTGTTTCTATTTGTCTGCCCTACATCTACTACATGGTCTAAACAGAGCTAAGGACACCAGGCCTGGAATTTCCCTAAAACTTCTCCTGGGCAATATTATGGCAATTTTTGGCAATTCCATATTTGCATGCAACATGAGATATACAGTAAAATGTGGGAGACAGACATTGAGGGGTCAAAATTTCCACAGACAAATAATACCAATTCCCTCAAAATTTACACTCCAGTAAAAAAACTGCCGTCGTTGTCCACAGTGATCCGCAGCACTTGCTTTCGTAACTGCGAAGTACGCCGATAAAATTCCAGTCCTGTAGGACACCCAGGGCCGAAACTTGTGGGATACCCTCCCAATACTGTAATATTGTAGTTTTGTCAGGCAAGTTTAACAATTTCAACGACACACTTGTCGGACAAAAAATAAGTAATTGGGGAAACAATTTTACATAATTTATCGAAAAGTAATAGTTGTATGGAAAATGTTTGTATGAAAAATTTTTTTGGAATTTTTTTGGCGACTGAAATGTCCATCGGGCACTCCCTATTGGTTGGGCAAAACAAGCTCACCCCCTGCAACCGTAATACCAAAGTTTTGGCCTTGAGGACACCCTCAGGGAACATCATTCATATTCATACATTGCATTAACAGCCCATTAGCTACATGCATCTATTCCAGCTTACCTGGAGTATGGTTGTACCAGGATCTACCAACACCTTCTGATCATCAACAAACACTTCAATTTTCTCTGGTGCTGCATCAGCACTATAGTTATTAACTAAAACATAATAATGTACACAGCATAACACTAGTACACAGCCAATTTCGCACAAGTCGGAACACATCTGCAACAGATCTGTTAAAACCTGGTCCGCAACGGCCTGTCAACAGGTCTGTTAGAAGCTGTTGTGACAGAGCTGCAGCAATGCTGTTTTCAACAGGCCTGTTGCAAGTTGTTGAGACAGAGCTGCAGCAATGCTGTTTTCAACAACTTGTGACAGACCTGTTGCAAACCGAGGAAAGCACCTTATGAAGCTTGTGTATCCACTATATTGAACAAAAAACGGCCAAACAGGTTGCCATATTTCGGTTGTAGTGTTTCATGAAATAGCAAGACTTTCATATAAACACTTATAAACAAACTTGCGAGATAAATTTTGAGCAAAACAGCCGAAAAAATACGACAAATTAAAGAAAGGTTCTTACCGTAAACAATTTTCAAAATTAATTGGTCTTTAATTTTAAGTACGACTGAAATATGACAACCTACTTGCATATTTTTCTTCAAAATAGTACATACAATAACACAAAGCTTCAATAAGGCATCTTCCTCACTCACAGATTTCACTTGACATTGGAAATAAATTATATAACGAATTTCATATTCGTATCAACAATGAAGAACATTGCAGTGAACACTCGGTTGTTCATGTATTTTTCATTTCTTAAGCTCTAGATCTTGTGCTCTCATTGCCACAGTTTCTCAAAAAATCAAAACAGCTTTGAACTTGTTTGATTTTGCTTGAGGCAGCTGTTGAAATTTTGTTTGGCTCAGTCAAAATTCAAAAACAACTAAACATGATTGATATGTTTGTAATACTTCGTCCAATGATTGAATGAGAAAGTAAAGCCGGAAGTGTCCATTTCGTGCGATTTTTCTCTTCACTCACATTTTCGATTTGTTTCCCTACAACAGGCTTGTTGAAACTTGTTGTGACAGGACAAAAATTGTTTGTTGTGGACAGGTTTCGCAGGTCTGATAACAAGCTTGCACAGACTTGACAAAAACAACTCGCGACAGGTCTGTTGGAACAAGTTGGAACAGACCTGTTGATTTCAACAGACTTGCTGCAAGTTGTTCTATCAGACCTGTTATCTCTTGTTAGTAACAGGTTTGTAGCTGGTTGTTTCAACAAGTCGCTACGGCCACAGAATAAAGACATACAGAAGTGTATCTTCTTATTAAAAGTGCGTAAGGGATTTTTTCAGTCCGCCATGTTCTTAGCAAGTGCCCTAAAGAGAGGCAGTCACCCCCCTGAAAACATATTGAAAATTTAATATTCCAGGGGGGTAAATGCCTTTCTTTAGGGCACTTGCTAAGAACATGGCCGCCAGCTATTTCGGTAAAAAGCGCCTTACGGTTTTGTAATGGAAGTTACACTTCTGTATGCCTTTATTCTGTGCTACGGCTCTGTTGTCAACAGCTTGCGACAGACCTGTTCCCGCAAGCCTGTTACCGCCTGACGAAACCAACAGACCTGCCGCGACTTGTTGACAAGTTGCCGCAAGCCGGTAAAATCAACAGCTTGCGACAGACCTGTGAGATTTCTGGCTGCGTATAAATGAAATGATTATGATCTATGGTCCACTTTTAAATATTATAGTGCATTGTTTACACTCATGACTCACTTATATACGTAATAAACACAGATACCACGCCAATACAGGAAACGTAACCAAACCTACTTCTAGAAAATTCAACGAGTCTTGTTAACGTGCATGATGGCTTACCTGTTGTTAACTTTGGCAGACATCGTGCAGAGTTGCTCAGGACTGGCCATGATCTGACGCACAAAGCAGAGCGCCACATCGTTTAACGACGGGCAAAAACCAAGTAAACTTTGCCCTAAAATAACATGAATAGCACATACATTTAGAAAATTGCCTACTTTCACCATTACATATAACAAAACCGGTGAAAAACAGCAAAAAAATACACATCAAACTCACTTTTATAGTCAACTCAGAACCTTTGCCACTATCTTCGTATACAGTCGACATCTCGAGTGTTTACGATCTATCTACGATGATGCTACGATCACTGGATCACATTGGGCTGCCATTTTAAGCAAACTTCCTTAAACTGAGGAAATTTGGACCTCTTCAAGAATGAAATTTTAAGGATTTCTATGAAATTTTCACGTTTTTTCTAATATTAGATAATAATGAAATAGTATTTTAAAATTCAGTCATTTTAGCTGTTATTTATGAAAATATACTTTTCAAAAACGCGGGAAATACTGATATAATCTTAATAAGCTTTCAAAGGAAAGTTTACTGAATCTGAGGAATTTTTTACAAAGAATCTAAGGAATTCTTGGGAAATATTGATTTCTTTTCACATGGCTGTATTTGGTGAACTATATACATTTTATATAAAGAAGATTATAAGCAATTTGTCTTTGTTTTGCGACTGTTTAATATCTCGTTAATATACTGCTTTGAATCGCAATTATCTATGGAGATTTAGACTTCCATTAATAAAGTAAAAATTAAAGAAATCATGTTTCAGTGGTTGAAAAATGTCCCTTTTGCGATCAACTCAGTTATACAAACAAGTGCACAAAATGGATTAAGAGGTATTATGACATCACCTGTTTCTCGTGGAAGAACAGCTTATTCGTACATCCGGGAGCGTCGAGGTATACCCAATATGCCAATTCCGAAATATCTGAAGGATGGTTTGGTTCGAAGAGGCGCCGGCAGATCCGGGCGTAACAACACTGGCCGCATAACCATTCGGCATCGAGGTGGAGGCCACCCGCAGACTTATCGGATCATTGACTTTGTTAGGGCACCTGTTGAAGACGAGGCCAAAGAACCGAAAGTGATTAAGGATAAGATATTGCAAATTGGTTACGACCCATGCCGGTCGGCCAGAATAGCATTGTGTGCTGGAAATGGTAGCAACAAGCAGAAACTTGTTATTGCGCATGATGGAGCAGAGGTCGGAGACGTCTTAACTGCCTCGCGAAGCAGCCCTGTATCTATTTCTCGGATAAAGCCCGGTGATGCATACCCCCTTGGGAAGTTGCCGATTGGTACCGTGGTTCATAATGTGGAGTTGAAACCGGGTAAAGGTGCCCAATTAGCAAGGGCAGCTGGTACATCAGTTCAGTTGATTAGAATGACCGAAGAACATGCCATCATCCAGCTTCCATCGAAGAAAGAAAAGAGTGTGAGCATTGACTGTTTGGCAACTGTTGGCCGGGCGTCCAATATTGACCATAGGCATGAAATTATTGGCAAGGCAGGTCGTGCTCGGTGGCTCGGGAAAAGGCCAAAAGGAAAAACTGGAAAAGATCGATGGTTATGGACAAAGAAAAGAGTTTAGAATGTTTTGGGACAATAGAGTGTTAACATTTGACTTCAGGCTATTACCAAAAATACAGCCCCTCGAAAATGTGAGATGTTTTCACATCAAAACACTCCGAAATTTCAGGAATATGACCATATTCCTAATGTTGCAAAATCAAAATTATAGAGGTTCAGATTAGTCTTCCACTACCAGCACCTCCAGCTTGCTTACTAAGCATCTGATTAGTTAATCGAGTATATCAAACACATCTGACTGGTTGATGGTCCCTGTGGTAATGGTGGTTGAAGTCACATCTGAACCTCTCTAGTGTAGAAATCAGGCTTCGAATTTTATCGCGGCAATTGCCGTAGAGGGAGAACAAAATGCCGTGGATCATTGCGGCAACGACGGCAATTTTTTTCCGTATAGTGCAATTTTTATACTATTCACTGTGCATTACTATTTTGATACTTGAATTCAGATGTTGATCAAATCATGCGTAAATCACTATTTTATTCTCACTTTTCTTCGAAAAAAAAACACTAAAGAAATACGTAGACATGTTTCTAGCTTGTCAAAGATCCAAAGTAACAATAAAATTTTATTACAGTAACTATACTAGTACTATTTGCCTCGAGTTCCGCCTCTGTATATCCTTACTCTGTGGTCAGTAGTCACTCCTCCGTGATTTTGAGCCGTCTCGCATATATCTCGAACTCGCGCGATATTTTCACGTCTTGATTGGATGATGCCCACGCATGCGCTACATCTACAGTTATTGCGCATGCGTTCGTTTCAAAGGTTTGGAAACACCGAGCTGAAGCGTCCCACATGCACCACACCGAGCTACTGTAACGTACTTATATACCGAACCGTTACTTATATTAGTGTGTGGTAGTTACTGATCATAGGATCTTGCGAAAAGGGTGCCAGGCACAATGGTCTGGGGGCCGCCGGCACTCTCCCCCATCGTTCGTTCGATACCAGTTGCTAACTGAACCACTGCGGTCGCTGAACCTGGGGGCAGTTGGAGCATGTGAGCATGTGGCCCCCAATTCTTTTAAGTTTTTTTCTAAAAAAGTGCCCCATTCAACGAATGAAAAAAATATTTCTTGAATGAACGCCCTCTTTTTCTGGAAAGAAAGTGCCCTTTTTGCAGCAGTAAAGTCTCTGTATAAAAGGCCATTTCCGACGTTATAGAGACTAAGCGGCTCAACCGATCTTCTGTTCTAATTTACCGATCAATTGCAATTGCGACTAAAAAAGTTAGCAGTGTGTTTTTTGCTTTTATCTAACTTATAAAAATCTAAAATGTATCTTTACTACTTGTTTATGTTATATCAAATTTAAAAACATGACTAAGAACCTAAATTAAACTTTTTTAAGTTCTATAAAAGTTAAAGTTTCACGCCAGGATACCAGCTATTTGACCATTTTGTAGGTACCTGTCTACTTTCTGGTCCGCCCTCATTTTAACCAATCAGATCACGATCCACAAAAGCTCGTAATCTGATTGGTTAAATGAAGTGATCCGTTAATCCCACCAAGCTTGGAAGAGTTTGGTCCCCCAGGTGCTACAAAATATGTGGCCCACAGCGAAAGTAACTGACTATTAAAACTGAGCCATGGCAAAATAAAATTAACTGCAACGGCAAAAGAAAATAAAACTCATGGGAAATAAATAGGGGCCCTGGGATCGAGGTTAAGATTGCTATTAAAGATGTACACTTGCCTTACACCCGTTTTCAAAATTACGCGCCTCCCTGAAAAATACTCTTACTTCAAATGTCAGTTTTATGTCACAAAAACTGCTAAAAATAGCAAACGTAAACAAACTGTCAAAAGGCATTTTAAAC